TTATCCGTTTCTGAGTACATATCTTCAATACATTACGCATAATTATGAGAATTTTGTTAAAGATTGTTATATCTATAGCATTTTATTTAAGAATTAATTAATCTTATTGAGTATTCATCATTAAGACAACTAATTCTTATTCATCATTAAGACAACTAATTCTGCAAAATCATTGTTTTACATTGTTGTATATGATAAAACGTACAATTAAAGCAACTGGAAGTTATTATACTGATAGTTCGGAATGAACAGTATTACAACTGATGTAGATTTATGTGTTAATGCTAAGCTCATAGCATAATTGTGCAGTGAAGCATGACAGCAATTTTCAAGTATGATTGTATTTTTGTAATCTACAATAATAATTGTTGTATTGAAAAAAAAGATATGATAAAAGAGATCTGACCTGATTATCTGCAAAATTCACTTTGGCGCCATTATCTAACAGCGTAATTAAAGCCTCCAGCCACAAACATTTTTTAGAATTAGTTTTCAAAAATTCTAAATTTCCCAGTTAGATTGTACGCATAAGTAACAATACGAATGTTTATCGCCATGTGAAGAAGATTACTTTTAACTGTTTTGTTAAAATCATTATTCAATAAATATGATAGACCTGGCCACAAACAACGGAAAGCACAGCAGAATGCTTATCTTTATCCAGATGGTTAATTTGTGTACCATTTTTTATCAGCTGCTTCATAACATATGTATTTCCAGTCATTATTGCTGTCAAAAGTGACGTATAGCTATAACTGCACACTTTTAATTAATTTTTTTTGAAATCAGAAATATGCCAGATTGATAAAATTTGCATATTGTCAAATAATATAACCAAAGCGTTGATGTACAAATCTCCATAAGTGATGTAGCTTGAAATAGTGAAATAATTAAAACAAAGTGGATTCGTCAGTGTTCTGACCAATTTTCGTGTGAAAAAAAAGCAATTAACGTGTTATGTGTAGAAATGAAGCAGAATAAGAAAGGAACCTGTTTCGATCTTGACAATCAATTAAAGAATTACCAAGCTCCAAGATATGCTTGAATCTTTCAGCATCAGCAGTTTGGCAGCATAATGTAGAGTGGCACGTTCTTCACTATCACGTGATGAGGTTCCGTCCTGAATTGAAGTATAGCGTAATGTACTAAGAACATGTCAATGAATGATTTGAAAAAAATTAAAAGAATTTATAACAAAATCTGTGAAACTGGTAAATGGCTTTGAATTGTAAATAAAAAAAAGGCCAGGAAAAAGTATTAACAATCAGTTTTTCAATTACACAGTAATTTCATAGTCCACAAAAAATTGAAAACATAGGGCAATTTATTCATGTTTATGAATTAATCCTTAACAATAT